GGCAGCCCTCTTTTGCCAGGGTACACTCGAATTCTGGATACTCCTCGCTGGAGCCACTGGTATGGTCAAATTTTTGTATGGCAAGTCCAGAGTTACTTATGTATGGACAACCATAATTCAAGAACCCAAGGTAGTAGTACTCAAGGTTTGTGGCTCGGATATTGTTAGGAGATCCCTGTTTAAATCGGCTCTGTAGGATGGTCCAGATCGCCATGAAGGTGTGCTGAACAGACGCGGGAAATTCATCTGCTTCATTCATGAGTTGGCTAAGCAATTCAACCGACGTCGCCCCGTTTGCCAGCTCGCTGTTTGTTTCCCTTTTTCCACCTCTGACAAAGCGTTTCTCGCTTGTGCTCATCCTGGTCGCGTTGGATATCTCACTTTGGCTTACGTTTGAACATGCAGAGACGCCAACCTTTCCAACCTGGGAAGGTCCTGCGACCGAAACGCAAGCTTTTACTTGGAAATCCCTTTCAGTGTAGGCCTTCGAGCTCTCTGCGAATGTCATCTGCTGAAATCTTGATCCGCGCTTCACAGACGTTATAGCATGAGAACCGTATTCCTTGAGAAAATTACGATACCTTCTCCATGAGTTTGGTTCCCAAGGATTTTCGATGTTTACGGGCAAGTCCTCGAAGTCCTTCAGAAATGTTCCTTTCAAGGTGGAGATGTCTTCACTTACTAGACATTCTTTATCGACGTGGATCTTTTCTGTTAACGCCTGTTTGATTAAAGACATGCCACTCACTTCAGTTTGCTGTGAACTTTTGCTCTTTGTTGCTACTGATACCGTAACACCCAACGAGTAGGCGGACTGCAAAGAGGCGCTCAAGCTTGACTGGGTGGCAAGTGATTTATAAAATTCCTTGGTATTTGCGTAATACTCGAAGTGGCTGCTCGAAGACTTCAAAGTTTTCTTCACGAAACATTTAGGGGGGAGCTCCTCAAAGATCCTGTTCTCTTGCTCCTGGAAGTCGGCCAATAAGTTGACCTTTCGAAGATCTATCACTCTTCCCAGCGTAGAATTCTCAACGTCGGTAGCCTCAGATGTTTCTTTAAATGTACATAACCCAAAAACGAAAAGCACCAAAGGGACATGCATCATTCTGCTTTCCGAACTACAATCTACGGGGGAAAATGTTGCACAATTACTTTGGAAATTGGGCACAGAATGGGACCGAAACGTTTTAGCGTGTTTAACATGAGGCGATAAAGGAAATGTTGTAATGAATACATAAAATTCCAGTTAAACCTTTTTTGCGAGATATGAGAAACAAATAATAAGCTAACATTTTAATTCAATATTTTAAGCTGAAAACTCTTTTAAGTCATCTAGATATTGCTGTTTAGTGAGACACTTTTAAACTGGGCTATCTATTTCGAACACCATTGAAGGATCTTAGAGCTCTGAGATATTCTTCTTACACGTGAATAAGCATATCACACGCTGAAGATTGGAGACCATTCAAAAATGGTTGTTTGTTGTTGTATTTTTTTGACGCATTTGCTTGCTTGTTTGATTAAATAAACCCCATTTTCCATGTGCAAACATCGAGGCTAGGCAAGACCTTCCATTTAAGCACTATGCCATCATAATAGCCACAAAGAATGAATGACATACGAATTTAAACCAATTCAACTCTTACTCTTACTTAACTTTATTATTTTCGAAGGTAAAAAAAATGACAGTAAAGACGAGAGATATCGGTGATCATTTACCTGTAACAAGGATCCTTCGGCAGTGCCCTGGAATTAGTGGCAAGTTAAAGATACAACTTAAAAGGTATGTCAAATTTGTTTATGTTACATAAAAGACGTCCTCCAAACAGGTATTGAATGACTTGTAATGAGTTTCAACCTGTGCCTATCACCTCGAAAAATTCAACAACACTCTGTGCTAAGACTGAGGCAGACTCCTCAGATAGAAGTGTGTTGGACAAAAGCCCTTCCCTATTAAAGACTAAATGATGATCATTGTTACTATAATTGAATTAACGCAAGGGCATCCAAAACAAAAACACACCTTCACGTGTCAGTTAAGTTGTATTTTAGCGCTATTTGAACGTCTCGCAAGTTCTTGTCGACGAACCGGTAGTTTCAAAACGATAGCTTTTTCAAAGGTTAAAATTTTTAAAGACTGTCTCTAAAATTGAGGGGCTTACGACGAACGTCGACTTCAGACTCTATATTTCACTCCAAGCTTTCAATGATTCGGTAATTTAATGACGCATGTTTCTTTAAATACCACTTGAAGTAATTTTTGAGCCTTACAATGAAGCACTCTTTCGAGTTTGTTTATCATTTGTCTTCTTTTCAGTGGCGTGTATTATATATTTGCTTTTGTCTATTTTAAAGTTTGCGCGTTTGGTTCAAATTCGGTGGCTTGAAGTCAAACATCCCACCTTTAACTGGAGGTGAGTTCCGGCTTTTAAATTTCCAACTGAATAAGAATGAATTCGAAATATCTTTAAACAGGAAGCCTGTTTGTGAATTTCCACCCAAAGAGCCATTTGAATACTAAACGAAACTGTTTACAACACGTCAGTCTGGTCAGTTCTTTAAGTACCAAGATTATCTTTATAGAGGATGCATCCTTAAAAACCGTCAACATTGAGACCTGGAACGAACAGTCTGTATGTTGACTCTGAATCGACAGGCAGTTCCGAAACCCAACCTTGGAATCTCAAATAATCCGTTGTTCTTGAACCCCATAACCGACCAAGTGACTTTCTTTAACCATATTGCGGGTCTCAATTTGGTTACGACGATCAGCAATATATGCCCTTTGATAGAATATCGATCAGTTGTAACATTGCTAGTATTGCAACTTAGAATGGAACCACTCAGATCTCTCAGTAAAGCTAGATGTTTTTCCCAAGCAGCCTTTTGGATTTGAGCTGTACTTTTCGAATCCGAATTTTTTAAATTTTAGGCATATTTACACCACTAATACCCCTGATGTCCTCTACAAAGAAATCATTCACAAGAATTGAACAAAATGCTATAATTTTACCAAGAAAGTAAAATCAAGATGTTTGAATCCACCTTGTCGTCTTCGTTTTTACCAGTATTCTGTTTACAAGTGGCTAAATGAGATTTGGTACTTTTGCCGAATATTTTAAAGTTCAAAAGTGGAGATTACTTAAAAACTGTAAAGTGTGTTTGATAGATTAACTTTATGAGTTGTTCTAAATTGTAGGATCAAAGATGAATTCCCAGATGACCTCAAGAGGATTTCCTTTTGTACCTTTTCTATCCACGCACCTTTTAGTATCGATTCGTTCAACACGCTCTTTCTCCTGACCTCTATGTGATCTCGATGTTTCAAAGTGGTGAGTTGCGTTTGGCTCTTACAGAATATAATGTTGCTTAATTTAGAAGTCATATCTCATAGGAACATTCTCATGTAGGCAGTTCGTGTAGGCAGTTCCTGGGCCTCCGTGGGTGAGTTTTTCTGGTAGTCCGCCTACGTAGTGCACTTTTCAGTATTCAAGCTGTCCAAAATGTGGTATTAATTGATATCTGACAAAAGCAAACGTAACTGGCGAAATTAATAATTAAACGACTGTAGTAAAGTAAACTTCTTTATGTCAAACGGTCGACTTAACTTGAGTTGTGGCATCCTGATGAATCCGTAAATAAAAAACAAACAAACAAACAAGATACATCCTTGTAGGTAGTGTAGGACAGTACGAGCGACTAAATTGGTGTCCTCTTTAGTTAAAATAAATTGTAACTGTTGTCTGCTTGAGGGAGAGGTAGTCGCTAATCGTCCGCGATTGATTTACTGATTTACTGAAAAAAAAAAAAAGGTTTACAAACTAAAGAATTTAGTAAAGTGAGTTTCATTTTGTTCTACGTTCACTTTTAGTAATGCAGACAAAATTGGTTTCCTATTTAATTAAAATAGGGTGTGAAGTGTTTTTCTGCTTGAGGGAGTAGAAGTCGCTTACTCCGCGAGTGATTTACTGGTCGTTGAAGAAAGGGTCTTTTCGTCATGTGATACACACTTTACACAAGTTTCATATTTCTAATCGTGGTATTTAATCGGACTTAGTGCCGTCTTACAAAGCGTTCGCAACTGTACAATTTCCAACAATTAGCCAATAAGCAATTGCAAAAACCAAACACTAAAAAATTTTTAAAAAGCAGTTTTACATCAATTGGATTTAGTTCATCAATTAAGTTTTCCAAAATTGTCTTCCCCTAGCAATGATTATTTCGACATTCATTTTGTGACGCAGCTATGACACTGTCGTGTTACTGTTTCTTCTCGATATGATGGCGTTTTACAACCCAATTTTTATCACACAATATTCACAGGTAGTGCTGGTACCGTGGTACCTGTTAGCAAAGCATGAAAGGACCGGGAATATTGCCACTTTCCATCGGCAGCGTTTCCCTCGCTCGAATAATACCTATGTGTGGACAACATTCGATCTAACATCTCTGCTAAGATAGGTAGCCCGGAAAACAAATAAGAAACGTTTTAAAAGAGTGTATTTTGAAGCTAAGTCTTCTTAGAAAAACAAAACTTGCAAAAGTCTTCTTCTTGGTAAACCACCCGCCTCATTGATGCTATTTCAAAGAGTTTCACACAATTACAAAATCCAAAAACAAAAAAACGCTATGCAATATAAAGGAGTTTGAGTCGCTAGCAGCGACGCAACTCAAGAGAACCAGTCGCTTTGATCTCCAATGTTAGAAGAACAAGAAAAAGAACAATTATTTAAACGAATATTCGCTGGTTATTGTAGAAATTAATGAAAGAACTACCAACACCGCCATAGTTAGAGGGTTAGATCGGACAACCGTGACTCTTGTGACATGCAATCGTTTGGTAGGTAGCTTGTTAAGGTTAAAGGTTACCACCCTCTTTCCCAGTCCATCTGGATACCAGTCCATCTGAAAGCTAACTTCAAGCATTAATTATTATCAGGCTTCCCTGACAATTCGCTTGTATCCATTTATACTCCTGCCCAAGACCAAGCCAGGTATCGAACCCAGACCCCTCGAACGGCGTATTAACCAATACGCTACCGCGTTCACCTAGAACTGAACTAATAATCTATTTCTAATCCGTAATGGCTGAATAAACAAATATTCAGGCCGCCTGTTCTCTAACCTGTTTCAAAACCGCCAAGATTACTACCACCAGGCACGGTCTTATAGGATACTCTAGTCGGTTCTTAATGTTTTTTTTTTGTTTTTCTAAAATTGTTGCTTAAACTGAGCGATAAAGAGCTAACTCTTGAAAAAAGTGACGCAAAAACTTCGACTTGTGCCCAAGACTTAGACTTCATCTTTGTCTCAGATGAACGGAAATAATGCTTTTCAGAAAACATTTCTATGTAGGTTAATTCAACGGAGCTTTTTATTTCACGTCATGAAGTGTATAACGCTTTGGGTGTAAATTGTGCGTAATATCGAAACAACACTTTGTTAGCACATGACTTTACGTTATCTTTTGTCTTCCTTTTACACTATTTTAATTTTCAATTTTGCATGATATATTTGAACTAGTATTTAAAGTTAAAAATTAGGCGTTTGCAGCAGTTTTCTCCGATAGTTTTGTTTCACTCGTGAAAGCATAAGCTCATTTGTAAATCACAGTTGAAGTCCCATCAAGTGCAGCTAAAGTAACTCAGCAGTAAATGTATCTGTTATTTTTCTCTCTCTCTTGATATGCTGTATTTTAAAGTTTTGTTTATAAATTTATGTCTTGGTTTCACTGCTTGAATAATTAACCGTTTAACAGAGTCGCCACTAAAGCAGCAGATCAAATAAAGCGCGTGTTAATTTTACTTGCTGGAGGTCCCTTGGAGAAGAGTACAATTTGACTGTGCGTGAGGAATAGCAAAGGCTTGGATCGAATTTTGCGTAGGGAGGCTGAATAAATTGACCAATGGAAAGTGTGATTTTATGTAAAATATGGAAAGGATTATTGACCCCGTTTTATTCCGACAATGGTAGATTCATTATTTGAAGAACAGTTTGCAGGGATATTGTTTCTTCACCCCATTGAAATGGGAAGATACTGACCACCTTTTGAGTTTAAAAGGGTAAATTAGTGTTATCAACTGAGTCGATAACGTAAATAAGCCTCCGTCTAGGGTTTTAAAGGGTAACTGACGGCTCAAAGGTCATTCTTTCGGAGTACTGTGTGAAGGCCTCGGGTAACAAACTGAAACAGACACAGGGTACTTCGAACGCCTATTCGTGCCTTTTTGCGCCTCGATAAACTGTCCTAAGTGTACACTTAACAAAGTAAATATGGCAGATAGTAATTGGAGTGAGAGCACTTCAACTTCGGGGTGTGATCATTCAGATTTTGAAGCCTCGATGAAAGGTGAAAATAATGATAGGGCTTAGAATCCTGTTTGTTCAATCAGGCCTGGCAATTTGAACCGCCAGAACAAACCGAAAATAGAGCAGGAGAATCGGGCGAACATTTTTATGTTAGAAATCTTAAAAATAGTGGATGTGTCTTGAAAACTTTAAAAATCGACACTCAAATTAGATGGAGGAGTAGTTCCTAAAATAGTAGAGTTAGTCTCTGGGAAACTTTCCTGTCTACGTACCTTTTGGTGTCTTCCAATACACTATCCTCTGATCTCTAGAATGAGTCGATGTGAAGAGAAACGTTTGTCTTTTAAAGAATAAAGCATACCTTAATTTAGAAGTCATAGCTCATGGAAGTACTTGCATGTAGGCGGCTGATAGAATAAAAGGTGCGATGGTGAAAACAAAACTCCACCAGCTCGTGGTCCTCTATGGGTGAGTTTTGTTGGTAATCCCCCTGATTTGTGCACTTTTCAGTCTTGAAGTTGTTCAAAATGTGGTATTCATTGTCTCTGACCAAGGCATACTTGACTGGTGGAAATTGTGACGTGATGGATCTCACCAGAAAGCGTTAAGTTCCACTAATTTCACTTATCAAGAATTCGACGGATCGGGAAAATCTAAATGGGTTGATTTGGGCAGGAAGCCGTATTTTAATTTGATGCAACTTGACCGTAAAATGATAACCTCTTTTACAAAACGGTCCACTTAACATTCTGTTAATTATTCAAGGACAGTCTGGCCTTTCTATAACGGCCACCTTGACCAGAGGAAAGTGACCATTGTTGGTAAGTGGCCTTCTAGACAGAAGTAATGCGGGCAGGAAATTGCTCTCTCCAAGAACGCTTTTTCTGGCACATGAATCTGTACCATTAGGAAAAAAATTAAAAACAGAAACAAGAAAGATCAAGCTATGTAGTATATAACACTACGAACAATTTGTGAAGTATAAATACACAACATAATTAAGAATTTATATCTTTCAACTAGAAAGCAAAATATGATCCTCTTAAACAAACAACAACTGAAAACAGTTACAACGAAAGAAGTAATATGCAGCGAGTCTTTCAGTCTGTTCTACGTTCACTTTTATTATTGCAGACTACAATGCTTTTCTTTTCAGCTGGATTAATTTCTGAAATGCTGTCTGCTCGTTGGATTAGTTGCCTATTTCGCCACATCATTCGTCCGCGAGTCGAGTCGTAACTGGTCGGTGTAAAAAGGGTGTTTTTGGCTCGTGTTACGCGCTTTATACAGGTTTTAGATGCCTAATCATGGTACTTAACCAGGCTAAGTGCTGTCGACAAAACTGTTCGTAACTGTACAAATCTCGCTAATGTGCCGTTCATCGATGTCAAATAGAAAACAGTAAGACATGTTTTTTGGAGCATTTCTATTTTCATCAGTGGCTTTTAGTTCTTCAGTTGACTGAACAAAAAAATTTTTCCCAGGAATAATTCATCTCTAGATGAACTTTGTGATGCAGCTATGACATCGCCGAGTTTCTATTCGATGTTATGGCGTTTTACAACCCAATTTTCATCACATAATATTCACAGGTACTGCTGATACTGTTTTGCCTGTATAAAGAAATTTACGATGTTTATGCTTCACCAGTTATTCTTGTTAAACTATTGCATTGTATACCTATTCCTGTGGTAGTTTAATTGTATAAAGTAACCAAGACCTTTTCCTTTGTTATTATGTTATAAGTAACAATTTGCTACTCAGATAATGAGTGGACTTTTAACGGTATAGTCAGCGCTCGTCGCGGCCTGCTTCTCCGCTCAACTTTTGTTGTCAGTTTACAATTACCACTCAAACTTTGTTTAGACATGTAGTTTTAGTATCTTTCCTTTTTGTGCCGTATTGGGTAAATCGTTAATAGACGCCCAATTATTTATAAATAAGAAGATAACAAAGAGAAGAAAATAATAATCAACTAAGTGGCTGCGAGCTAATGAACTCGGAAAAAAATTTAGGACAAATATCACTTATGTGTTCAGAAGTTGCAGAAATTGGCCGAGTCGCGCAGGATAATTAAAGATGTTTATCGTTAAGTTTACGAGGAAACGTGCGATTACTTGTTTATGATAAATGGGGCAAAATTTCCTTTAATTACGAAGGTCAAAAGCGCACGCTGTTTCACACTTCGTAAGGAGCCGTTTCAGTGTTCAGTTAGTGTCAACTGTAAAACGCACGAATCAGCTGAATGAAATTTTAATTTTCTACCATGACGCTAAAGCAATGAAACCAGCCCTGCTGAAAAATATTCGCCGTCAATGAAATTATAATATTTTTAGGCAAAGTTTAGCCTTTTTAAACGTTTTCGATTTTAAATAATTTTGCTTGGGGCAATTAACAAAATCAAAGTGCCTGTGACACAAAACCTTTTTTTTTTTGGTATTTATTTAGCTCATCATATGTACGAGCCAATTTCAACACAAGAAATTTTCCAAAACAAATAAGGATCGGTTTTTTGGGACTTTGAGCGCTTTTGTTTTGTCTTAAAAGTGTCCCGTAGGAGATCGTGGTGTTGCGACTAGAACAGCATTGTCGGTGTCTAGTAAGACCAATGCGAGAATGGCAGTCTTTGCTGCACAAAGGGTAGATGTAGTTCGTCGTGGGGAGGAGGGAGGGTTTCCGTGTCTGTGTGCCTTCCGCCTGGCTCTCCTCTTTCTGCCAAGTTCAGGATCTTCTCCTCACCTGTCTTCAGCAGTTTCTTAAGCAAGCAGCGCCGGCTGCTGAGGTTTGCCACAGTGTCCTCCCAGATCTCTGTATTGATGTCTAGAGCTTTGATGTCGCGCTTGCAGACTTATTTATATCTCAGCTGGGGCGACCTTGTGGTCTTTTGCCCGAAGCAATTTGACGATAGAAGATATCCTTGTCTGAGCAGCGTGTATATTGTGGGGAGGCTGGCACGGGCAAGAACCTGAGCATTGGGCACTTTTTTCCTCCAGCTGGTGCCAAGGATGCGGCAAAGATATTGCATGTGGAAACTGTTCACCTTCTGCTCTTGCTTGGCATAGGTTGTCCAGCCTTCACTTCCTTACAGGAGGGTGCTGACTATGCATGCGTTATACACTACTATCTAGGCTGGAATGGTCAGCTTGGGGTTCTCCTTGACGTGAGTGATCAGTTTTCCAGGGTTCTTGCGACCTTGTCGATGGGATTGTTGATTTCAGCATCTAAGGACAAGTTATCGCTGATGGTGGAACCAAGGTAGGTGAACTGGTGTACCACTTCAAGTTTGTAGTTGTCGATGGTGATGAAAGGTGGTGTGTTCACGTCTTGGCCCAGCACGTTGGTCTTCTTCAGGCTCAAGCTTCTCTGGATGTTGCATCTTAGTCGTATCAATGCGTGGCTTCCTTATATGTTTGGAGCGATGAAGTTTCTTTGGTAGCAGTTTGATCTTGCAGCATACTTGTCAACGGTTGGAGTCACAATCAGGGCTGTGGTATGAGCGAGTGAGAAGCACGTGGTTGAGGCTTGCACGTCTAACAATGACCATGTCGAGCAGGTGCCAGTGCTTGGATCAAGGGTGGCGCCATGACACTGTGTTGTGGCTTCATCTGGAAATAGGGATTGGTCACACAGAGGCCATGATAAGAGCAAAGCTCTAACAGGTGCTGCCCGTTCTCGTTTATCTTGCCAAAGGAACCCAAGCAGGAAGACCAAGAGTCGTGGTCTGCACTTACTCTGGCGTTAAGGTCACCAAGGAGGACAAGGCGATCGCTGTTGTAGATGTTTTTGATGGCTTCCCTCAGGTTGGTGTAGAACTCATCTCTTGCCTCAGGTGTGGAGGTCAAGGTTGGGGCATGGGCGCTGATAAGTGTTACTAATCCTGCAAAAGTATAGAGGCGGAGACGCAGCAGGCATTCTGATCCTTTGTCGCCTGGTTCAACCATCTTCAGCAAGGTTCTCCTGACTGCGAACCCTACCCCGTGGTCTATAATAGAGCGGCTATGACTATGCCTTCAGCCTCAGTAGCTCGTCGTTGATGGCAACTGTCTGGAGGTCATCAAGTCCAGTTGTTATGGTGCAGACTTTCGAACATCCCAGTTTAAGAGCTGGTCTCTTCTTGTTGATTGTCCTTTGTGATAAATAAGTTTTTTTGCCTGGTAAGGAAGTTACGGTCTGCTTGTCAGTATATCCTAATCCTCATACACCCAAAGAGGAAGGCAGACCATGGCGGGACAGCACCTTACTGGCTGGGGGCTGCCCAGCTTGAAGTGCGAAGATCTCTCCCATCGTCGGAAGCAACCACTGGCACTTCACTTTACGCCAATCGAGTTTTGTAACTCGAGTTGAGTGGCCCATCCAGCCAGAGGGTATCCCCATTCCCATAGCATT